TTTCTCTTTCTACTTTCACGAGCAGAGAACAGAGTGACCATAGAGAACGACAGGCTAGGATTTTTTTCCCATTCACTTTAGCAATCTTGCCACTGTAAAATGAATATCCTCTGCAGATTTATACCATGAGCCTTGGGTGGAGTAGTCAGGCTGTGGCTGTGCATCTGAAAGCGTTTCTGACTTGTGAGGATCTTCTGGTTCTAAAGTCTATAAAGCCTCGTGGGGGGAATCATAGCCCCAGAGACTAAGGGATGGAATAAACCTCCTGAGTAGGAAAAGAAAATCGTATGAACACGATAGGAGGACAAGGGTAAACTGTAGAGGGAATGTGAGGGGGATCACAACTTTCCAGCAGTGTGAACTCCAGCATTCCTGCTCCTGCTTTCCAGCAGAGGTGGGAGGGCACAGCATTTTGGGAAGGATGCCCATGAAGCACGATAGCCCATTGACACATAGCTGAGTGTGATCTTTCCTCCCAGCAAAGCTCTCCAGGTGTGTTGAGGGCAAACACGGTGGTGAACACTTGGGCAGATGCAGGGACAAGATACACTCACAAAACTCCAAGCAGTACTGCTGTATTTGCTCTTCCTAGAAAGAGATCTGGGTGCCAGAGTCTGAGCCAGAAGTCCAAGAGGTGGAAGCAGAGCCCAAGGGCAAGCTAATCACTGAGAAATGCTTTCATTGGCGGGGTTGGCAGGGGTTTGGTTGGGTTTTTGCTTGTTGATATTGATAGTTCCAGTGTTGCTTTGCTTCAGTTTAGCCTTGGAAGAAGCTGCCTGCTTGAACATGAGAAGTGAGGTGGTCATCACTCTTTCCAGCCTCGAAAGTGCAAGTCTGAGCTCTAGAGCTTATGAGGCTTGTTTATTACTGGGTGGTAGTTAGTGGATCATCTTTTTTCCTGCTGGCAGGGAATGCTTTCAACAACACCAGACCCCAAACCGTTCTAACATCACACACGAATGAATGATTTGCCTCTTGACTATGCTAAAAATCTGCAATGCTTTTTGGGTGAACTTGAGGAAAAAGGTCTTGACCTGCTGCATGCAGGGAGAGGGATTAGTGCGTGCAGAAGGAGGAAACAAAGCAGGCATTTTTGCTTTGCTAACATCATCTTGTGGCTGACTCATAGGCCTGACTTTTCTGGGAATAAAATTCAGCTACATACGCTTCTGCTTAGCTGCACTTTCTCATAGTGAAACGTGGAGATCTTTTTTTCTTGGTGTTACACTTATTTTCCTCGGAATTGGGTTTAGTCTCTCGTTTGAAATTGAAGGCTAAAGGCCTTCCCTACCGTTGTAGCCATCTTCAGCTTCCTCAGTGTATGACTGTGTTGGGTGTGTTGTTTTGGGTGCTTTGTTTCTCTCAGTTCTTTTGGGGTATCTTTATTAACATGTGCTTTTAGGTGGAGCTTCGCTTGGCTTTCCTCAGCTCACGGTGGGTAGAAATGCCGCAGTTTCCAAAGCTCTGCTTAAATGCTGACAAGGGATTGCTTTTGCCTCCTTGTGATTTTTAAATGCTCTCAGTTGAGTGTCTGTTAGCAGCAGGACATTGAAGACTTGTAATAATCCTTCAGGCTGGCAGATGCGATCCAGAGCCCTTCCTCATGCAGAGGAGGGAGAAGGTGGGGTTTATTTGCAAGCTGCTAGCAGGGCAGTAACTTCCATACGTCATACTTTGTCCCAGAGAGCCTTCTGTGTAACATCAGGCCCAGAAGGGAGGTTGCTGGCTTGGAGGGTAGCTTAGCTTGCTGAGAGGTGCTGTTTCTGACTGCTCTTCTGTTGGTTTCCTGACATACAAAGTCCTGGTCTTGCCGCAGTTCACGGCAGTTGCACACAGCAGGTATTGCTTCCAGGCAGAACAACCCCGTTTGTGCAGAAGCTCTTTATGGTCTTCCAGCCTTTGGCATCTTTGAACTTACCAAGAAAAGTTCCTGCATCAAATGGAAGTATTTGTGGTTGACTGGTATGGGGGTTCTTTGTCGTGTGGATGGGGTTTTGTTTCGTGGGCGAGTGGGCAATACTTGGAGTAGGTTTAGGGAACCTACTGGCAGACCACAAGGCTTGTTTGCCTTCCCAGCTGGAATTACATTGAGAGTCATCATTCTGCTTTACCCAGCCTGTGAGATGAGGATTTCAGCCTTCCGTCAAAAGGCTTCTGCTTGTTGGTTCTGAAAGCTGATGCTGGTTTTCTGTTGTTTGATTTAAGTGATATATATCCTCTTATAAATGGGCAGAGGAAAACAGTTGATGCACTCAGTCTTGACGTGTTTTTCTTGTAGTAATCAGCTACCTACCTGCTGCATTTAGGGAATGTTTGTGTCATCTTCTTTTTTTTCTTTGAGGAAATGAGGTTTATGGGATTTATTCGAACTTGAATAATGTCAGGGATTGTGTGAACTATAAATATTTGCAGGTCTGGTGTGCTCTGTGGCAAAATACTGTTCCTGTTGTGGTAACTCTTCTCTCAGATGAGTACTGACTTTGAACTAAATCTTTACTGCATCTAAAGCATTTAAAGATACTCTATGTACTTTTTGCTAGTGTTAAGCAGAACAGTTTCCCCTTCCCTCATTGAAGGTTGGGTGCACCTACTGAATCTGTTCTGATTTGTCTTTCTTTCTTTCTGAGTACTGTACTGAGCTGACCTCCACTTACGTTTTGGGAGTGTGTTTCTTTTAATGGCCAGATTTTTAAGGTGCAGTTGAAGCCAGCTCTTTAGCAAGGAGAGGTATGTAAAGGAGAATTAAACCTCTGATGGAGGATGGATTGATTATGAGAGTGATGTTCTGGCAAGAGAGTGTGGGAGAGCTCCATGGCCATTTCATATAGGAAGAAGCGAGTTAATCCTTAAGCTATGATTCCAGTTTAATTTTGGTAAGAAAGACTGAACTTTGAGTGTAATCATAATCATTGATTGGAACAAGCTTTGTTAGTGTGAAGAAGCAAGACGTTCTCTCACAGCTTGGCAACTGGCTCTCCTGGATGCACTGCAAGAGGAAAAATATACTGTGACAGATGCCTGCATGAGGAATTCCCTTCCTTCCTCCCTTCTTCTGCCCCTGCACTGCTATGGTGTGAAGTGGGAGTTCTGTCCTCTGCCTATTGCCATCTGGTTGCACAGCCTCATAGAGCAGGGGCTGCAGAGTGCAAGGTGCTTACCTGTTAAAAGCTGCAGCAGCATCTGCAAGGCTGCTTGCCTGCTGCTGCTGACCATGAGGGCAGTGGTCTGGTGGGGAGCAGCTCTCCAGTCTTGCTCAGGTGGTGACTTCAGAACCTCTTGAGTTAATGGCTGGGTTGGTGTGGAAGAAAAGGTGACTTGGGTGATGTTTTGGAGAGAGGGCAGAGTAGGCATATGGATGTTCTTCATTCAGGGCTGTGTCGTGCCTTGCTGCCAGAGATGGAAAAGCCTTGAGGAAGCCAGTCATTGAAAATGTTGGCGGTACCTCAGTACTTGGAGGTCCTCACAATTAGGAGCATCTGTGATTCATACTGTGCAGTGAGTTATTTAGAGTACTGATTTCATTTGGGTTTTGAGAGGAAGAGTCAGTTTTCAGCCTACCTTCTCTGAAAATCCAAAGCTGATGAACTGCAGACTACAGGTGAAACATCTGTCTGTGTATTAGCTGTTATGAACAGAAAAAATAGAGATGCAGTGTACAGATTGTCACGAACAGATCTAGTCATCCGGGCAGCAGAGTACCAGTTTTATCTCAGCTAGTTGGATATAACCCACTGCTATTCATTTTAAGACGTGGAATAATCTTAGTCCTTCTTGTGTCTGTATTGGAATTCAGCAGACAGGTCTTTTAAGTCTTTTGTTTTTATCTAAAAGCTTTGTTCAGACCCATGCTTGTCCAGGCATCATCTCGCACAGCCTTTGTTTTCATCTCATCTGTGAAAATGAAAATTGCTTTTAAATAATGCAGTATTAAAAATCCTACATGAAAAGGGGGGGAAAAGGAAAACCTTGGGTTTATTTGGTGTCTCTTGGGGTTTCAGCCTTCATCTCCTTGGAAAAATAACTTTTAGAATTTCAAAAAGGGGCTATATAGTATATTTAGTAATAGGTGTGCTGGCTGTGCAAACCCTGAATTCCAGTGCAAGTCTAACTTGTTTTTGAATACTGGGCTCTACTGTCACTGTAGAGAACAGTACCATTCCTATTTGAAGAAAACTTGCAGGAGAAAAGCAGTGGCTTTTGGTGTGGTAAAATTGACTTGATTCTAAGAAGTCATATAATAGTCATATTGAGAAATGGCTCTGTCACAGACAGAGCTATTCTTCATTGCCTAAAGGCCTCCATCGAAAATTGGACACTGTCAGTGTTGGTAGGTAACTGTGCAATGGCTTTTGCTAACTTCTTGTATCCAGTGAAGGAAATGGAGTATTTCAAGCAAAACAGGAGATCATGTAGTTATGTGAAAATGTGATGATGAGCAGGATACTGCTACCATCCGTGCAGCAAGCCAGAGGTATTCTAATACTTACATTTGTCTATCGTTTCTCATGTGATCTGTGTGGGGTATCTTGTTCTTTTTGGTTATATCTTGGTGACTGGCTTCTTTAATGTGTAGAGTCCCATATAAATGATGTCTTTTCTTGACTGTTAGCGGTGGCTATCCAGTAGAAGAATCCTTTCAAGTCCGTTAAGATGTGCCAGAGAACTTGCATGTAAATGGTAACTGTAGTCCTGAATCCTATGCTTTGTGTTGGGTCTATGGGTTAACAAAAAAGCTTTTTATTATGGGGTGGTCATGATTAGACTTTGCATTTACTGGTCTTAGTGCAACACCAGGAAATAATAGATTTATTGGACAGAGCCTTGGGTGACGTGGTTTGGTGTGAGGTGTCTCTGCCCATGGCAGGGGGGTTGGAACGGGATGATCTTAAGGTCCTTTGCAACCCAAACCGTTCTATGATTCTGTGATTTCTGTTGTTGATTCATCACAGTAGATCTTAACAAAGTTCTAAATACGTATTTTCTTTTTCCCCTCTCACCAGACCTTAATTTATTTTGGATTAGGATTCCCATGGCATGTGAACTAGAAGATACTTTGAAGTAGAAGCTTTCTTTCTTTTGAAGTGACAGTCTTTTATCAAAATGGTTGGGAAACTCAAACAGAACTTGCTACTGGCATGTCTGGTGATCAGTTCGGTGACGGTGTTTTATTTGGGCCAACACGCCATGGAGTGTCACCATCGAATAGAAGAACGCAGCCAGCCTGTGAGGGTGGAGAGTGTGAGAAGCACAGTAAGAACTGCTTCCAATGTGAATGCAAACAAAACCTTTGCTTACAACAAAGACATGCCTTTAATATTTATTGGAGGAGTCCCTCGAAGTGGCACTACCTTAATGCGTGCTATGCTTGATGCCCATCCGGATATTCGATGTGGAGAAGAGACAAGGGTGATCCCAAGAATTCTGGCAGTTAAGCAGATGTGGGCTAGGTCAAGCAAAGAGAAGATCCGACTGGATGAAGCTGGAGTGACAGATGAGGTTCTGGACTCAGCCATGCAAGCGTTTTTGTTGGAAATCATTGTGAAACATGGGGAGCCTGCTCCGTATTTGTGTAACAAAGATCCCTTTGCTTTAAAATCCTTAACTTATCTTGCCAGAATTTTCCCCAATGCCAAATTTCTTCTGATGGTACGGGATGGTCGTGCATCTGTGCATTCCATGATATCTAGAAAAGTCACAATAGCTGGATTTGACCTTAACAGCTACAGGGACTGCTTGACCAAATGGAATCGTGCTATAGAAACTATGTATAACCAGTGTATGGAGGTTGGTTTTGAAAGGTGTATGCTCGTGCATTATGAACAACTCGTATTGCATCCTGAAAGATGGATGAGAACTCTCTTAAAGTTTCTTCGCATCCCATGGAACCAAGCTGTGCTGCACCATGAAGAAATGATTGGAAAAGCAGGGGGTGTTTCTCTTTCAAAGTGAGTATGAGCATTCCTCCTTTACCTTGTATTGTTCTAAGAGCTAAAATAGTACATTTTGCATAGAAAAGACTAGTCATAACTTGGATTCAGTTTTTAAGTAGCTAATGATGTTTTGGGAAACTGGTTTATGATGCATGTTAGCTGGGAAGTAAGAATCCCTGTTACCTAATGATTTGCAGTCTCTGATTGCTCCCATTAAACAACTGTCCCACTAATGTGTATGGAGCATGTGAGTGAATTTTTAACTAATGATCAGTCTAACTTGAATTTAGATGTCTCGTGCCGGCCTTACCTCCAGTATAACTTTGCTTTTCTCCATGCCCCAAAATGAAGCTGGCTTATTTTATCTAGGCTGGTGTTACTTACCCTGGCGAGATCACCCCTTTGATTTCAGGAACTTAAGGCCTGTCAATGCCAGAATGGCTGTTGAGTTACGTTTGCCAAGGACATACTCTTCCAGGAAACTTGAGAAAGTGTTCCAACAAAATAGAGAGCAGAATTGGCGTGCTGTTCTGTTGGCATGTGCTCCAAAAAGAGCAAGCATTTTGAATAAAATTAACCTTGTTGTGAGCAAATCTCTCAGTATTACTGCCGTGCCATCTGTGCACCTGATTTAGCCTCTTTCAGAAACCAATCTCCTGAGAAAACCTAGATGGGTGTTGTGAAGAGGAAAAAGGGTAGATAATTCTCCAGTTAAACTACTCTGGTTTCTTTGCCACTATTTACAGCTGAACATCCAAAATGCTGCTAGGCTTGCCATTGAAGGGGGAGGATGTGAGTGTTTGAATCTCTCTTCCTATTTTTGCAATGGCAGATACATCTCCCAGGTTGTCTTAAGTTTCTAAAATATTGATTAAGAAGCCCTGTTCCAGCAGCAAGGCATGCCCAGTTTAATTCCTTGGCTTCTGGTTATAGAATATTCATCACTAGCCAAATGCTTCTGAGTAACAGAGGCCTTGCCCAGCCTGGAGTGTGGGCTGAGTAGAGACATGTCAGGCTGTTGGATACTGAGTGATTCCAGTGTCTGTAAAAACTACAGGCTTGAGAAATAAATATTGGGAGATTTGGTTTATTTAATGCCTGGGGAAGGGGCTGTGTGGGTTTTCTAACACTTTGTAGGGGAAGAAGATTTAGAGCAAATCATACCATTATTAGTCAGTGGCTACAAAGAGAGCTTGAAACTCGGATAATGGTCATATATTTACAGCCTGGAGGTTTTGCATCACTGTTCCCACCGAAGAAACACAGCCACCACCACTGTTCACTGTTCATTCTCAGGGCATCTCAACCCCCTTTTTTTGCTGTATTGTTTGTTGTTAACAGATTGAAGACATCTGATAATGTTAACCTGAAGCAGGGCACTGTTGTATGTCTCTGCAAGCTGGATCTGCGTGTGAACTCTTCAGTTGCCTGCATCATGTTACTGCTTCACAGTGGCAGCTGAGGGGGGGAGTAAAACTGAGTGATATAAATAGGTGGTTGCCAAGTTCTGTTAAGTGTCCTGTAAAACTAACTATGCAGAATGTCATTCCTTCTAAATTAGCACTACCTTACAGCTTCCAGATCAGCATTTTTGGAAGTTAATGGACCTCTATGTTATACAACTGTAGTAGTCTTACCGAATTCACACAGTTTCAAGTGATATTTCTGGTTAAATCTGGTGGAATGGGATGTGAGGAGCTGAGAACACTTGTTCGTGTCTCTAAAAATTAAGGCACTGGATTGTTGGAAGTAGAATGTTTACTCTCATGTTTATTTTTGACTCAAACTTTCAAATTCAGGATTGGCAAGTATGAACATGTTCTTTTGAGCTTCAGTTCAATCTGTTCATGGACTTCTGCATGGTTTTATCAGCTCTCATCTGATATGGGAAAGTGATCTGTTATTTTAGAAGGCTCTGGCAGTAGTGGAAAAAGAAAGGGTTTTATTAGTGTTATGTCTGATGTTTTTCATCTAATCAATTACCCTTGAAATAGGTGATGAGATTTGTTTTTCAGTTGCAAGAGACCTCTATAATCTGATAATGATTATATTATTATATATTATATATTATTTATTAAATAATAGTAGAATATTAATTAAATGATATAATAATATTATATGACTCAGGCTTTTGAAGGCTGCAAGAAAAACAGTGAATATGACATTCTCTTCAATGTCTGTTTTGTGTATTTAAATGATTCTAATTGAAATTATGGAGGAGGAGCTTGAGATTCCCAGTTTGATTTCTTTGTACCAGTTAAAACTGCCTGCTTTTAGCATCCCAGCTTCCCACTGCCCTCCTGTGTGCAGCCAGGTGCTGTGAACAGGGACTGCTGCCTGTGTAGGGCTTCCTTGCCCAGAGCAGGGGGTGACTGCCCAGAAGAAATTACCCTTTGAGGAGCAGCTTGCCAGGGATTTCACTCCGACCTTTAGAGTCTGCCACAGCTGAACAAGCTTTGACAGCTGAACAAAACACACCTTGCATATTAGACTTAGTTTTCCCTCTATCAAGTTGCATTTAGCTTGTTCCCAGCTGCAGCTGAGTTCTTCATGGCCTTGGGTGTGCATGGCTACCTTCTGGGGCAGGTTTTAAGCAGCATTGTTCTCTTATGACTTTGACTTTCTCTCTGAGCTTGCTTGGGGAGTGCTCTTTGCTTCAGTGTGAATACCGTAATCTCTCAGCTGAAAGAATCAGGACCAGCAGAGCTCTGTATTCTGATGGCTTTCTCCCACCTGATTTTCCAAAGGGATGATGCTGAAGATCACTTCAGACGTGATTTAAGGAAATTTGAAACACTGCTGCCTATTGCAACTCTGTCTTCTACTCTGCTTTCTTACAGAGCTTTAATTTGCCACATGCCTGCTGCCAAGTGCTTCAGGCTGGTTCATAGTAGTATATTAAAATCGGAACACTCAAATGATATTACAGTTTTTACTGGCAGAAGGAGAATATCACAAGTACTAAATCATCTGTGTTGAAATCTCTTGTAGAAGAGATTCAGAGCAGCCCTGCGGAGAAGGGCTTGGGGGTGTTGGTTGATGAGAAAATGAACATGAGCCGGCTTCAGTGTGTGCTCGCAGCCCAGAAACCAACCGTGTCCTGGGCTGCATCAAAAGGAGCGTGACCAGCAGGTCGAAGGAGGTGATCCTGCCCCTTTGCTCTGCTCTTGTGAGACCTCACCTGGAGCATTGTGTGCAGTTCTGGTGTCCTCAACATAAAAAGGACATGGAACTGTTGGAACAAGTCCAGAGAAGGGCCATGAGGATGATCAGGGACTGGAGCACCTCCTGCATGAAGACAGGTTGAGGAAGTTGGGGCTGTTCAGCCTGGAGAAGAGAAGGCTGCATGGAGACCTCAGAGCAGCCTTCCAGTATCTGAAGGGGGGCTATAGGGATGCTGGGGAGGGACTCTTCATTAGGGACTGTAGTGACAGGACAAGGGGTAACGGGTTAAAACTTAAACAGGGGAAGTTTAGATTGGATCTAAGGAAGAAGTTCTTTACTGTAAGGGTGGTGAGGCACTGGGATGGGTTGCCCAGGGAGGTTGTGAATGCTCCATCGCTGGTGGTGTTCAAGGCCAGGTTGGACAGAGCCTTGAGTGGCATGGTTTAGTGTGAGGTGGGGGGCTGGAACTGGATGATCTTAAGGTCCTTTCCAACCCTAACTATTCTATGATTCTGTGATTCTATGAAATGTGATGTTCATTTTAAAGATCCCACCACATAAGCTTAGCCTGCCTAGTGTGGCAGGGACAGTATGAAGATAAAATCAGTTCCCTGGTTGTCAGCAAGGTAGAAAACCTCAAAGTGAGAGAATGATCTACTACTACAATCTGCAAAGGCTGTGATACTGTGTAAAGAAAAGGAGCAGAGAAGCCTGCCTTAATCACCTTCCACTCACTCTAAAGGCTTTCAGACCTTTCACACAGGCTCAGCATCTGCATGGATACCTGGGGGTGGCTTAACTGTTGGAGGGTTTTTGAAAAGAAATCTGACAAGAATTTGTTGTCTTGAAATGTTAAAAAGAAAAAAAGAAGATAGCAGTGTTTTTAAAAGCCCTTTATAATGACGATAATCCCTGGTGACAGAACGTACATGTCTGAGAATATGGTTTTCACTCATCCGCAATCCAACGCTGTCAAATGAAATCTGTATCAGATGGAATGAGGCTCTACGGGCACTGTAAGATGTTTTATGTGCAGCTGTGTGTAGAATCAGATTGTGCATGCAGGTTGTTTCTGTGCCAGGGATGAGCCAGCCACCTGGCTTGTGGAATTCTTCAGGCACTGAGCTGACTCTGTTCTTCTCTTCTTGCAAACTCAAGCTCTTATGCAACAGTCTGTTAACAGCAATATTAGGTACCAGACAGCCTGTGTTTAAGATTCTGACTTCATCTGTTCCCCTGGCTGCTTGGTTTGAGGAAACTCTTGGCTGCCTTACTCTCTTTTCCTGCATTTGCTTAGTAATCCCTGTTACTGATGCAGCCCTAGTCTCACTGTTCTGTTTTACTTAGTGTTTTTGCTTCTTGTTTTGGTTTTATCCAGCTGCAAGGAGAAACACGGCAAGGGTTTTAAGGATGTGCACTGCAGCATTTGTAGTAGTGGGAAGCCTTCTGTGGTTTGAAGTAATTGCCAGCGTGGCTGTTGAAGGAATGTACTATGGCTGGACTACATGCTATAACTAGCATTGTTAATATAGCTCTGGCATTTGCCTCCTAACTGAAACCAGCTGTGGTGACCACGGACGTGAAGAAATGTCAACCCTTTTATAGCGATTTTTTATTAGGCTGGTTATGAAAATAGCTGTCTAAGCAAAATTACTTCAGAATATACTATTTTTAATGCATACCTTTCAGTTGATTCTAGTATGGATGTGGAAGTGTTTGGGGTTACTCGTGTCTTCCACGCTACCAGCTGCTTTCAAAGCTGAAACCGTGCCTGTGTTTTTGCAGTGGAGCCTGGCAGCACTTGCCATAAGCATGCATAATCAAATTTGTCAAGACCTGCAATGTTTCCTTGTTTTGATCTGTTTGATGCATTTTTGGGGGGGGGGGGGGTGTGGGGTGTGGTGTGTGTGCTTCTTTCCTCTTGTCCCCAGTCTGTCTTCCCCCATGCTCCTCAGGTGTTCTTTGCTCTTGAAGAATCTTTCCCCCAAACTGTGTTTTACTTTTCTTCCCACCTTAACTAAAAGGGCAGAAAAGGATTCATGCTGAAGACCAAATGTGGTACAGTGTATTTTTGAATCCGTGCCTCGGAGGAGCTAAATGTAGCTCCCTGCTTATCTCTCGCCAGTGATTAATCACCAGGAAGTGTTTCATGCTGAGCTTATGTTTACCAAAGACTAAAATGAGAGTGGGGCAAAACATACACGTTTTAAATGTGCTCTTACTTCAGGGCGAGTTAGCCACATGCGTACCAATTTAGGTCCTAACTGATGTATAACACCCATTGGTTTGGGGTTTCAGTAAGCTCTTAGCCAAGGCTGTTGCCTGGTTCTCACAGTATCACCCTTATTTTAAATGGTCCAATCAATCTACAGCTTTGGTGATGGGCTCTGAGAGGGAAAGGTCTGTAAATCAAAGCCTCTTCACAGACCTAGGGATATATTTTTCTTGACAGTCCCAATCAGCATGGTTCTGAGGACTCCTGACTTGTGGTGCCTTGTCCTCTGCCAGGCCACTTTGACCTTCAGAAACTCAGCTCCTAACAGCTATTTTCTTGCTAATGTGATGTGAAGTTAGAAGCTCATCTTCTAATTAGAAGGCTCAAAAAAGCAATGCCCAGGCTTTTTACTTTGCTCTACAGGCTTGTGACCTCAGGGCAATAGCCTTCAGGAGGGCTGAAATTAGGTTGTGACTCCCCGGTCCCAAAATCCCATTCTGACTTCCTGCCTTTGGTTTGAGCTCCTGGTTGAAGAGAGCAAGGCTGAATGTTCTGGGAGCTGTCTTGCATCGTTTTGGTCATCAGGTGCTTACTCATCAGCTTCCATTAAACACCTTTTGCAGCCATCTGTGAAGGCTCAGCTTGCCAAGATGCTTTCCCCATACGTGACCATTTCCCTGTCTGGTTTGTTCTGTGTTGATTGTGTTTAAAGTACGTCAGGTACTGACCTTCCAGCATTGTATGGTTAACTTCCTTCCTCTGTCCTGGAAACACTCGAACTATGATGACAAGTGAAAAAGAGCAACACGGTAAAGACTGATGACTGGAAGACGTGCATGCATGGGTTATAAGGCTTTCGTTGCACAGTCCAGGGTGCATCTAAATGGGATGCTTCTTGCTATTGATTTAATGTTTGTCTGCTCTGCAACAATTCTTTAGCCTCTTCGTGGAGGTTGATTAGGTAACTGTAATCAAACTCGTTCCTCTTGCAAGTTGAGTGATGTCAGTCTTGAGAGCAATCCGACTTTAACTCAGGCTTCTGAGTTCTGAAACTGTCAGGAGCATTTCTGGATATTCCATTTATTTTTTGTAGAAGATACTTTCTCATCTCCTGCCTGCTGTAGAACTGGAGCATTGGCTGCTTGAGAAATAACTCGATCTCAGCTTTCTCATTCTTTATCATGAGTAGAAAAGCTACTGCTGTTATACTTCATACTGTTACTTTCACATATATCACTTCCATTTCTGAGCAGTAGAGCTTTTTGAGATGGAAAACTCCTCATGGTGTAAATAAGGCATGGGAAGAATGGTAGTTGCAAGTGGATGTGAGAGCTGTATGCTTAGCATCAGGTTTGAGGCAGGTATAGCCATCCAGCAGGAATTACTGATACTGTGGCATACCTAGGGTCTTACTTGCAATGCAGATGCAAATATTCCTTTGGGCAACTTGTATATACAGACCTGATTATTAATCTGCCTCAGAAGAAAGATAAACCTTGACCTCCAAAACACTTGTGCACTTTTACTCCTCAGCCTGTTCCGAGTCCTGCTGGCCTGTTTCAGAAGTAACATGGTAAAGGTGTATGTTTGCTAACCTAAAAGAAGCAAGGAATGTGGGGGAAAACAAAGTGATGACAGATTTCTTCCCTTGGAAAAAACCCAACCCAACAAGCACACAGCAAAACTAGGGTGCAAGAACAAACATGGGGCCTTAGGAGTGTTGACTAAATAAGCAGCAAATCAACTGTCTTCTAAACACAGTACATAAGACACTATGGTTATTCACTTGCCTTAAGGAACTGTGTAATGGCCAAGCAATCAGTAAAAGGAATGGTTATGAATAATATTATTGAAGTCCATGGATTTCTGTCATTCCCATAGAGATGTCCTACTGGAAAAGTCACAGTATGTAGGGGGGAAGAAATGGCACCTGGACTTTAAACTTCGAATACGACTTCCAAGAGCATTTAAGACAATGAAAGAGCAAGTGTGGGAATATGCCAGCGGGAAAACAGCTTTATATGTAGGTGTGTGCATACTTTTCACTTAACAGCTCTTTGGCTTTCACTGCTGTCTTTAGGCAAAGAACTTGCCTCAGGACATTCTGTATGAAAGCCTAAGCCATGAATGTTGTGCTTGTTATTCTCGTTTTAGCCTCCTGTAGTAAAACTTCACTTCCCATCAGCTCTGTAGAAACATGACATTTGGAAAGGGGAAGATGAAAACCCAGACAAAGCAAGCGAAAGGCCTTAATGCCAGTGAAGAAGCAGGTATTGGTTGGGATGCAAAATGTAATCTGTCTTTCTTCCTCCACAGGGTTGAAAGATCTACTGACCAAGTAATCAAGCCAGTCAATGTGGAAGCACTGTCAAAGTGGGTTGGGAAGATACCTGCTGATGTTCTGCAAGATATGCCTGTGATTGCACCCATGCTAGCAAAACTGGGCTACGATCCGTATGCCAATCCACCAAATTATGGAAAGCCAGATCAAAAAGTTGTGGAAAACACAAGGAGGGTAAGGCGTTTTTGTGTGTTTAGTGACTGACTAAATGGATGTGAGCTGTGGAGCTGAAGAGTCTCGTGTTTCATTTGTTGGGGGATTTTAAAGTCTGTTTCTAATACCTTTTGAAACTTAGCAATGTGGTTTCCTTGCCATGGGGATGAAAAGGAAGAATTCTATGGGACCTTGAGCACCGAAAGTCTTTCTCCTGCTGTTTGTCTTCAATTTGGTTTATGTTCCTTTACCCCAACCCCAGGCTTGAGCTGTGTTCTTTGGTGTAGGTAACTAAACCTCTTGAGAGCTGTCCAGATAGTTGGGGAACTAGTTAGTAGTGGAAAAAGCAGCTTTCTCACCCGAGCATCAAACTTGCCTGATGAGCTCAGCTTTTTATACATGAGGGCTGGCAGAAGCTCTTTCACAAAATTACACCCCAAATACTTGGTAGAATTGGAAAAGTGACCCATGGAAAATGGCTCAAGATGATCAAAATGGCACATTTTTCCAATTCTTTGCTGTCCTTTGTAGAAGCAAACGAAAGATGGAGGGAAGTCTGGTGCTGATTAACCTAAACTTGAGGATTTGAGCCTGAACTTAATCTTGGAATGTGAGTAGTTAGGCTATAGAGCTGTTTATCCCCGGAGGTATCCATTGGAAAGCTCGTTACCATTGTTTGAAATAAAAGTAATTAATTCCTATGTTCTTTGGAGAATGTATACTTGATTAAAAGAAGGTGCCTTTTGCTGCTGCGGCAAAGTAATCATTGGAAAAATTGAATTAAACCATTAAAAAGGACTGTCTTCCACTAGCCTCCAGTATTAAACCCCCCTGGTTCGTATGCTGCTGAGCTAAATACTGATGGAGGGGGGGAAAAAAGGCTTTTGGGGAAGTCTCCAAACACTTTTGCATGCTTTCTTCTTAGAAGCCTGAGTACCCGATTGTGCGTATTAAGGGAAGACAGGTCGGCTGTTTTAATAGTTGTTAGCTCAGCATGGAAAAGGTAACCCACCTTTTCTGGCAGGGGTAGTGGTTAGCATTGTGTGGGTTTCCTGATGCTACTTCTTTTAAAGAAGCTCACAAACTAACTTTTCTGTACCCAATTCAACCCCCTTAAAACAAAAAAAAGAAGTCTTCAGTGCTACTTCATGGAGCCTTGAAAATGAAATCCTCGTGCACCTACCTGTATGTGGTATAGAACAGTGACAGGGTCCAGATTTGTATTCTGTTGCAGTGGTTTAAGGTTGGTTATCTCTTCCTGACACAATTAAAGTACATTTCTGCAGTAGGGTGACCTTTCTTATGCCTCTAATGCCATGCCTTCTATGCATGGCAAGCTCAGTCTGAGGTGTAAAAGTCTGGATCTCAGTTGCTTACTGTTGGGTGGCTTCTTGAAACCTGTTTCAGTTCAAAAATGCAAGAGAGAAATTCAGGTAATAAAGCCACAAACACCTTTAAACAAGTTGAAACCTAATTTGGAAGGCTAAAGTGCATCGTTTGCATTGAAGCATGATCAGTTTATTTACTCATGTTAAACCAGCTGTGGAAAAACTGGAGGTTACTGTTACGATAGCTGGTCCAAATAGTGCAATGCTTCCTTTGACTGATATTCTAATTCAATAGTTTTACAGCCCAAGGTAGCATTTTAATTTTGGTATTTATTTTTACCCAGTATGTATTTTCCTGGTCTCTTGTTTCTTTACAAAATTCCTTTTGCATATATGGTTTGTAGAGCTAAAGTGAGGGTGATGTCCTGAATTAAGACTAAAACCCAAAACTCCCAAAGGACTAAGGATGGCTAACCTTCAAAACTGGCACTCTTACTTTTGAAAATGGAGAAACAAGATGTCATGTACCCCAAGGAGCCTGTGACAGCTTGAATTAGTGTTGGAGCTTTCATTTGGATGGCTTGAATTCCCCCCCCAAGTCACTTTGCTTTGTTTCCTCCCAGCTGGTTCCCAGCAAATCCCTGCTCAGACCATCCTCTTTCCCTGTGACTACGGAAACGCTGATGGCCTCACTTCCTAGGGTTTCAAGATTTAAGGCTTCCCAGCTCCCAGAGCAGTTTGTTGCTTAGGTTACTTAATAGGGCAGCAGGCTCATCACCCTCTCTACAAGTGCCAGGCTCTCTGGCCAGCATGCAGCTCACGTAGTCAATGGCCAAAATGCTGGCTGCTGAGCTTGATCTCAGACCAAGTGCGTTTTGACATAACTGATCCTCTGGCTGGTGATCAGTGGGAGCTGACTCGTGTCTCAAACACACTTTGGTTTGTTTTCCCCACAGCTTTATTTGGTTTTATCTGCCCCCCATTCCCAAATGTTTCAAAACACTTTAAGGTGTTTGGGGTAAAGGGGGGTGAGAGGGAAGGGAGAAGAGGGCGAGAGGGAACTGGGATGTGTTGGTTTTGCCTATCAGGGATAGCATGTGCTGCATGTGGATTTGCCCCTTTTTGTTCATGAATCCATACTGGTTTATTGCTTGCTGCTGCCTCTTGATGAAGAGGGCATTTACTTTAAGGTTTTTCAGCATTTATTGGTCTGGATTTTTCCAGCCTTTATGAAGTGGCACTTGGGAAGTGCGTTACTGCATGCTCTGAGCTGGTGACTTTGTGCATTAATATAGCCCTACTTTTGTTCTTGCTTTCTTCTTACATTTCTTCACCTTGGATAGTCTTGCACAGAGTTTTGTGCAGAGTTTGTGGTATGTTGAAGATGAAGCTGTCCAAATAAAATCTTTCCAAAGTTCCTCTTCAGTGCATAATAAGTACATATAAACCTTGCTTGTAAGCATTTATTGCTTCACTTTGTGTTTGGAAGCTGTCCTGTTGTATTCTTGTTTGTGGTCTCGGAGAACTTTTAAATTTAACACAGAACTTGAATTTTATGCATTGAAAACAGAGAAAGTTTCAACTTCTGAAACTGAGCTGTATTGTGGTAGCACAGTAACCCTTGCAGTGACTCACGGGGGATAACATTGAGTTATCTGACACTTGCTGCTCTGATACCATCATAGTTTCTTAGTCCCTTTCAAATGGCTTGAGCTAGCACTTCAGATGATCAGGGGACTGGAGCACCTCCTGTATGAAGACAGGCTGAGGAAGTTGGGGCTGTTCAGCCTGGAGAAGAGAAGGCTGCGTGGAGACCTCAGAGCAGCTTCCAGTATCTGAAGGGGGCCTATAGGGATGCTGGGGAGGGACTCTTCATTAGGGACTGTAGTGACAGGACAAGGGGTAACGGGTTAAAACTGAAACAGGGGAAGTTTAGATTGGATATAAGGAAAAAGTTTTTTCCTGTTAGGGTGGTGAGGCACTGGAATGGGCTGCCCAGGGAGGTTGTGAATGCTCCATCCCTGGTGGTGTTCACGGCCAGGTTATATGAAGCCTTAGGTGGCATGGTTTAGTGTGAGGTGTCCCTGCCCATGGCAGGGGGGTTGGAAGTGGGTGAACTTAAGGTCGTTTCCAACCCAAACCATTCTGTGATTCTGTGAAGGGAATTGGTTTTGTCTGGCACACAAAGTAGCTTTAAGGGGGAAAGACTGATGGGTTGGTTTGGTGTGTGTGGGGGGTGTTCAGTTTTGTGGGGGTTACGTAAATGCTGGCTTAAATTGATTGTGGAAGTTGCAACAACAGGGTGGAAGGCCAGCACCACTGAAATTACTGGCAAGGGAGATTCCGGCTCCACCTAAAGATGGAACAACGTTGTGTCATCTAGTGCATTGCATAAAGATAAGGAGAACATGAAATTCATTTTCAGGCTGCAAAACAGATTCTATTGAGTGCAGAGGGGTCAGTATTTTATGAGCAGAAGCCTGTGCATTGCCCAGTTGTAGAAGATAACTTAAGAAAATTACAAGCTTTAAACTGCCCCATGTCTGTTCTGAAATGTGCTTAAATGCTGTGTCTAGAGCTGCACCGACTGCACTGAGCAAAGTCGATGGCTTCTTTGTAAAGACTGCAAATCAGACTTAACAGTGAAAATACTGCTCAGCAATGACAAGAGGCTGCTGTTAGTCCTGAAGTTAAGAACTGACAATGTAAAGGTGCCTAAATCAAGGGCTAATAATGAAGAAAACCAGAAAGGAATGGCTACTGTGATGCAGAACATTAGCTTCCCCATACCTTTCCAAGCAGTTCAGTCCCGTTCTTGTTTCTTCTTCTTTTCTCCTTTGCTGTCCCTCTGCTGGTGACTGTACAGGTTAATGTACAGGTTATGTATGGGTTAAACAATCCTTTTTGTTCAGTCTGGAAGCAAAATGACGATCCTCACCAGCTCCAGTACAGGGCTTGAGTTAGAATTTCTATGTGCTCCTAGGTAATGCAATGAAAACAGTGCTCTCTGCTAAGTTTTGGGTTTTTCACTTGAGTGCTACCTGCCTGGGGCACCGGAATGGTTAGGTTGGGTTTCCATGCCACTGTAGCACAGCACAGAAAAAGATGCAACCACTGTGTGTGTTTCTGTCACCTTAGTTCTGCTTTTGTTTCAGGAAATACCAGTGTTTGAAGCTAACCTCATCTCTTCTTACACTGCTCTCCAAGTGCTGTGTGGTGTTATGAAATAAGACTCTGGCAGTATCTGCACTGGTGGAGTACAAATCCAACATGAGTATAACAGAATTTCCTGATGTTTTCAATAACAAAGCCATTAACTTCTTGTTTATCTGCTTTATGTTAACCCTGGCAATATCCTCTTTTATGGCATGTAACTTTATCTTGTCTCGGTTTAAGGAACGCAGAGCAGAGAGAACAAGGTCTGAATAGTATTGCACGATGCAGCAGATCTCTGCATGCAACCTCCTCAAGAGGCAACTTTTAGTTATTCAATGACTGCAGAATCGGGTCATCTTGTGTTTTCCTTCTAAGCCTGTTGCTGGTCTCTTCATTGTATTGTAGTGATTGCAGGAGTCCCTTCCTTACAGATACACAACTGACCACTTTTCTTCCTCCCCTAGAGTTTTAACATATTCTACATCCTGAACATAAAGGAGAACACCATCCTGTAACTACGGCGTTTCCATCTGCAAGTGATGCAGAAAATTATTAAGCTTTCTGCACTGGTAGCCCCATCACTATATGATGAATTACATAAGTAGAATCACTCCCATGTTAGACGTGCCCGATATGTCCTTATCAATATTGTGAGTCAGTAAAAGCGTATGTCAGCAGTTTAACAGCATGTACCAAAAGTGGAGAACAGCTCATAACTGGAAGACTCTGACTTATGCCCAGTAGAAACTGGCTTATTGTTATGTTATGATTGGCTAAGTGGTTTCCTCTCACATCTGTAACATATTACATCAGATTTTCTTTGGCGCGTACTTCCCCCACTAAATGAATTTGTATGCCTGGAATACGTATTCTAGTCATTTCTTTTAACTTCTTCATGAAGTTCCTTGCCCTGGAGAGGTTGAGGGACGGAAGTGTATAGAACCGTGTAGAAAAAGCTATGGTTTTCATCATGACTGTTTAAATATGTGTGGCTGCTTCTAATCACATCCAAAAGCTGTTCTCTATCTCTGGTTATAGTCTGTTGATGGTATCCTCTGCAGTAACATCCAGAGGAATAAACCAGCTCTACTGACTCCTGTTCCGTGCCTGTTTTAAATTGTGAGGAAATGTCTCCTGCTGTTAAGACTAGAGACATCCATGACAGTCCTGATGTCGGGATTTTATATTTGGGGTTTTGGAGACAGAAACAATCTATGGTAAAGAGTGTGAAGTATATTTATACCGATGCATGAGAATCATTACTTGCGCTGTCAAAGATGCATAATTGAGGTATGCTGTAATGACAGGCTGCTCGAGGCCGTGCATCTCTGCTTACACTGCATAAGTTAAGCATAAAAGCATTGGGCTTCATGGGCATTTTCTGATATTGCAGGGTTTATTTCGTCTCTGTCATTTCCACCAACAGCACAGACTTCCTCAGTGTCCTTTAGATTTGTTTAACACCCTCTTCAGTGGGCTTTTCATATACGATCAATGTGGCAAATAGGATTATTAACAAACAAAACACAAAGGTATGGTTGCAAGCTGCCTTTTGGCGGACATTCATAGCCCAGTCTAAAATCTTGCTGTCTGTGTTAGATTTACATCTCAGAAGTCCCCTTGCTTGGCAGTTACAACAAAGAGGTGAGGAATCGTGTAAGCCTTGTGAGCTGCCTTAAAAGCCAAGGGAAGTCTGAAAGAGCAGGATGTACCTGCAGGTACTGTGTGGTAAAGGGCTGTTTCTAGAAGGGGCTCTGCTCTCTTTTTGCCAGTGTTCCCTTTCTTTCCCTTTAACAATTAAACACTTCTGGCCTTGTACTCTGCCATTTGATGTTTTGAAAGTCTGCCAAGCCCACGTACCTGCAAGAAAACTTGCAGACAAAAAGACCCATAATCTCCACATACTACAACTGACCCAGTATGATGTGACCCTATCTAAACCAGGCTTGAAAGTGGGTGAAAAGGAGTGCTTTGATCTTCTATGAAGCTGAATTCTAGGTTACACTTCTGAGTTACACTTTTGCTCCAAAGTTTTCCTTGAGAAACCCCTTTAGAAGGGTTTTCTCAGCCAGCTGCATGTGGGACTTGTTTTCTGATCTCTCTCTGCAAATACTATGCGTTTAGTTTGGCTTATACGAATGTGCTTTGTTGTTTGAATAGAACACTGCCAGCACTGAACAACAAACTGACACAGGCTTAAGATTCCTCCTCCCTCTAGAAATCCCTTTGGACTCGCAAAATAATTCCCTTAGCAATGGTAAACACCATTTCTGCTCTATTTTAACGAATTCTTGCTTAGACTGGAAATCATTCCAATGTCCTGCTTCTGCCTCTGCTCCTGCTCTCTGGATAACGGGGTTTCGACTTAGGAATTGGTCAGGAAAGAATTCTGAATCTGAAACCTCTCAATTGCTTTGGCTGCTGCTGGAGTCATTGTTTTTGGAATTTCTGGATTGCAGTTGATGGCTGGGTTTTGATTCCAAAGGACCACTTGCTGGGTTTGGAACTGCTTTAAGCCAGTTTGCATGCAGTCTCAATCTCGACAAAACCAGTGTTCTAGGTAATGTCAGTTCTGAACCAAAATCAGTGTGTTAAACCTGATCTTGGTGGGCCTGCCACTGGTTAGGTTTGCCTTTGTAAACTGTGGTGTGTAAATTGTGATGTTTCATGTGACGATAATAGCAAGTGCCCCCGAAACATTTTCTTTCCAGGCTATGACATTAGCATTGCTGATGGATGAATACCCTTGGCCAACCGCTCTTAGGTAGATGTCTATTAGGAGTAAATGCTGTTCTTGCAGAGGGCATCACAGTGGGTAAAGCTTCTAGAGCAGACACACATACAGGTCTGAATGTATGTGTGTGAAAGCTAGAGCATGTCGTAGTTGCAGGAGAAGGAAAGGAGGAGGCTTCCAGAGAGACAACCATGGGTTTTGTCACTCTGGTTCTGAATCAGTCACGACGTACCCACCATCATCATCAGTGTTAGCTCCTTTGGAGAATTCCCAGATACTGACTGTAGTGGTTTGCTAGGAATGGTGAGGAAGGCTATCTCTTTCTTCCAATATCAGCACCAGTCTCATAAAGATAATAAAATGGTGGGGTTTTCTTCTGGTGAGCCTTGTCTAGGTTGTTCTGCAGCATTTGTTTCGGTGCTGATATTGCTGATTTGTAAGCTCCATTTCTGCTCTCTAGAACACAGCCTGCATTTGAATGGCTTGGTTAAGAGCTGAAAACATGAAATACTTGCCTTTATGTATAAATACTGATGGTATATCCAGGCTCCAGTGAGCCACACACTGAAGTCCTGACTGGTGTGGCTTTCATTAGGGTTTCCATGGGAATGACAGTCCCCTCTGGCTAAATATAAATGAGAGCTGTGCCTATCAGTTTGAATCAGCCTTTCTCTTTGATCTAAACCACAGCCTATCGGAAGGAGCGGGGTTCTGCAGTGTGGAGTCGTTCCTACTCTCATGTTGGGACTTAGTGAAGCCTTGTTGTTTGGATGTGTTTAGCCTAGTGATGAAGAGCAGTGAGGACTGCCAGCTCCTCAGTCCACTGCACATGAGTCACAGGTTTAATGCTGCAGCCTGTTGTGGGGCGAGACAGGAAATCCAGAGCTGACTCAGCTGCAGGCCAAGGCCATGGCTGTAGGTGGACAAAACGTCCTCATGTTCTGGTCATCTCTTCGTAGGGAAGTGGGGAAAATGGAGATTGCTAACCAGCATCCCTTGACTTCCTGAACCATCTTCCTTTGGTGCCGTTTGCAAGCCAGGGAGTGCAACTGTGAGCGAGGCTTTAGAGCAGCCCCATTTCCATTGTGTGTACTTGTTTTCCCCCCCGTTTGGAATGTCTTCCAGTTTGATCTCGGAAGCAAACAGCTCTTAAGAAGTATCCTCTAGAGAGAAGACAGCAGCTTGCCAATTTGTTGCCTGGTTGGCCAGGTAGTGGGAAGCTTGCTGTGCCTGTTGGGGTGTTTGAGGGCATTTCTCACTTGCTCTGTCTCCAAACAGCGTTGGTTCAGGATTAATGTTATGCTGTGTAAGACTGGAAGTTGTGGAGCGACAAACTCTGAGGTGAGGCAGTAGTGAGGGGGCAGTCATTGCAGAAATTCACAATCATCACAGTGACAGCCCTGCTGAGTGGTGGGGCTCTTCTGCACTCATATATGAAGACATAAAGTCTGTATGTATATTAGTATGGAATAGAATAGTCTCTTCCAGTTGGAAGGGACCCACACCAATCACCAAGTCCAAATAGGAAAGGATTATCCCACTGATTTTATTCATTTATATATATCTTTTTTCCCCAGTGCAATAGATGAAAAGCAAATTAATGGCTAAATGGTATGAAAATAATAAAGCAACCTGGAGGCTTATCCATCCCTCCAGGAGCTGGGGATTGTGGATGTGTGTGTACAGCTGTGTGGGAAGGATTTGGGCGTCTGATCTCACACAGTGTCTGTGCTGAGTGACTCAAGGTCTGACACACAGTGCTTGGGGGAAATTGCTAGTAATACAGCTGTACTGTTATAATATATATATATCTGAGATGATATATAATACATCTGATACCGTTATAGTGGTATCTGTGTGTCTTGAAGATGAAAGCAAATGTATGAACTTCCCTGTTACCTGAAAATCACACCAAATTGTATGTGGAACAAAGGGATCGGTATGTGTAAGACAGGGTAAGAAGGAGATGCTGACGCTCCCGAGTGGCCATTTCAGCATCACTGCAAGGTAAGTTGTTAACATTCTCACACCGACTGTAGTCGCGTTGTCTCGATGAACTGTATCACATCTGACAGAGCTTTCCTTCGACAGCACAGCACCGTGGGATCAGTTGTTCAAGTGGGATGCTCCTGTTTGTGGCATTGATACATGTTTTGTATGTAATTAATACGGTAGCAGGTCAGAAAAATTGCGTTATGGGGCATTTGTTGAGTTGAATTGTAGTTAAAGGGATTTTATATAGTATATATTATATAAGTGAGGGTGCTAAAATGCGAAACAACAGATTTATCACATGTAAGCCTCAAGTTTGACGTGGTAGCGAGTGACTCCCGGTGTAGTTCATCATCCTGTTTTTCTAAAAGCATAGTGAATGGCTTACACAGGACTTACTTAAGCTTGAAATGTATGAGTTACATAGTTTTACCTTTTAATGCAAACAAGGTGGGAGTGTTGAGCACAGAGCAAGCTCGGTACTAGTCATACAGCTTCAGCCGGCCAAGCCTCGTCAATAAAGTCAGCTTTTAGAACCAGATTGTGCTCAGTTCAGGTAGATCTGGTTAGATCCTAATTACCCAATTACCCTAATTACTCAATTAGATCCTAATGACCCAAAAGAATCTTTCCCCCTTAACAAGTTCTTTACCGTTTCAAACAGCACTGAATGCTGGCTTTAAGTTACCTCTTGTTTCCTGTTTTCCAGGTCTATAAAGGTGAATTTCAGCTCCCTGACTTTCTTAAAGAAGTGCCACAGGTACAGTATTGGGTTAATTTGCTTTTTGCAGGTGTAGTGGCAAGTTAGTGTGCAACCAGTCTGTATAAAGCACTCCTTCATACATGTGATTGTGATTGATCACAGAATAGCTCACCCGTGAGATGGCATCTGCAGTGCTCTTGCACCAGCAGCCCCAACCCTGTTGTGAGTTCAAGTGTAACTCCTGTGTGCTTATAAACCTGAGCTGAATAAATACTGCTGTGAAACTCAAGGACTCTCTTTTGTGTAGACCAGACCACAAAGTTTGTTCTTTGTAGAGAAGCTTTATCTTTTGTTGCCTTGCATGGAAAGGCTTAAAGCAAATACAGACCAGGCAGCAGTCTTTAAAGAAAGAAATGCTACTGTAGGAGACAAACCAAGCAAAACCAGTTCAGCCATGGCTAGTGATGGTGTAATAATCAAGTGAACTGTTGAACTTTGGATTCCAGGGGTGCCCCATCCCTGGCAGTGTTCAAGGCCAGGTTGGACACAGGGGCTTGGAGCAAGCTGCTCTAGTGGAAGGTGTCCCTGCACATGGCAGGGGGTTTGGAACTGGATGAGCTTTAAGGTGCCCTCCAACCCAGACCACTCTGTGAAGGTATTTACAGTTCCTAATCTGGCACCTTTCAAATGCTCTGAATTGTCACCAGCTCCCTAAGGGACCTTTGCAACAGCGGCTGACAAAGCAAAATCCTTACCATGGAGCTCTCCAGCTGCAGGATCCCCTGATGCCTTCCCCCAGCTGTGTGAGTGCGGGAGGCGTGCTTCCAGCCTCATGCCCTTCCCTCATGTAGCATCATGGAAGGGTTTGGGGCTGTAATCACAAACCCATTTACAGGCACAGGTACTGGAAGGTACTGGAGCACAGGAGATGGACTTGTTCTGCGGAGCTGCCTGGTGGAGCGCTCCCCTTCAGTGTACTGAGGGGTTTCTCTGTGCGTTTCATTTTATTCCCCTCTTCAGTTTGTAATGACATCAGTGCTCCCTCCCTTGCAGATGTAAGCTCCACTAATCCAGCCGTGAAAAATCAGAGCAGATGATCCAGACAAGGAGCAAATCCTTTCACTTCCCTTGTCAGGGAAATAACAAGTATTTGTGTTTTATTGCTTAAAGGAACCATTTTATAGGAATAAGAAACAATTGGTTTTGTTTTCTTGGGTAAGAGCTGCTCAACGAGCCTCATAAAAATACCAGTTTTTGTAGGCTGTATAATTGATGGTAAATGTCTAAATGCCATCTAAAGCGCTCTCCACATTGTGCTTGGATAGAAGCAGCAGGAAGTGGTTCATCTGTCACTGTCTCATATAAAGCTGAGTAGAAAAATACTTGGGTTTTTTTTGTTGTTTTGGGGTTTTTTCAACTCCTTGTGCATATACAGGAGCACCACAGGTGCTGCAATTAGGAGAGAAAGCATTGCTAGGGGCACTCTGCCTCCAGCCTTGTCTCTCTGCTTGCAGTACTTTGTATTTCCACTTGATTTCCCATCCTTTCTCATAGCCCACAAGTTTATTTCAAATGTAGGTGTAAGCAGCCTATCAAAACTAAAAAGATTTGCAATGCCTTTGCTTTACAAAGGAACAAACCCCCCCAACAATAAAGCCACCTGATGGGCTTCCAATCCCCAGTGTTAGGAAAGGGTTCTTTGACTGGTGTGAGCTGTAGGGATTGAAGAACACACAGGAGCACCTACCACATGCAAAGAGGTTTTTACTTACTCAGTTCATTAAAACGAAACTGAATTGATTAAAAAGGAAAATTGGTTTCTTCTGTTCCAGCCAAAGAAGACAGTAGAAGGGAAGTCTCGTGGCAAGATAAAATGAACATGGATCAGTGAAGTCGAATAGCTGTAGTGTCTGTCTCATGTTTTCAGAATGTAACTTTATGCTGTGGACACCAGTTCTTTCTGATAAAGCTTTGTGTGATCTCTTACGTGGGCTTTGCTCTTTATACTGGATGTTTGCCTGCTCTCACCCTTTGAACAGTCAGTGCTCATGCTTTGCAAGCCGTGCTCAGCTAATAGAAAACCATTAAGAACCTGGCACCACGCAGCTAAATGTGCTGTTGCTCACAGCGTTGTTCACTCTCCACTCTGTGCAGCTTAACGGCAAGGCAGCTGTTTAAATGTGTGCTGCTTGGAAGTGATGGTTGTCAGCAAATTGTACTGGGAAAGCGGGCTGCAGTCATTTGTAATGCTTCCAAATGCAGTCATCGTGGTTGGTTGAAGGTTATCCACCTACAGCGTTGCAGCTGAAGTTGCAGCAGGCCGGCTGCAAGGACAGGCTATGCCAGAACAGGAGATGAAGTATTGCTGAGGAGTTGGGGGCAGTCAGGGAGATGAGCTGTCTTTAACGTTGAGCACACTGTTCAGATAGTGTGCGAGCAAAATAAAAGAGCTTATGGGCTGCCTACAGGATCCATTGGTTAAATTACACTGTTTGTATTTGCCACTTATCTTGTGATACAGCACAAGAACTTGGTCCACTGCTAGTAGTGAACGTCCTCTTCCAATCCGTATGCGAGGGAGGCTTCAAAACGGGACTCGGCTACATTTCAGGAGGTGGATTTTTACAGTTGGCTGGGTGTGCTTGCAGCACTGACCAAGCTCTGAGCAGATTTATCCAAAGGTCATCTAAAGAGCAAAAATAAGCTTTGTAAAATAGGAAGAGAGTAGTGCTTAAGCCATAAAACTCGACACTGGAACTGATGCTGACAGTGACGCTCTTTACTATTATACTAAAGATCAAATTAACTAAAGCTCAAATGTAACTAAAGAGCCAGAGGGTTTTGAGTACAAACACTGGTGCTGGTGATAATATTTTTTTCCTCTAATATAAAATAGCTAATTTCATGTTATTATTTACCTGACAGACTGAACCTATGGAATAGAAGCTACCATGGATGTTCCTTGCACAGCAGGTAATAAGAGCTTGCAGTCCTGCTCATTTGCTGCTCTTGATGCAGTTCAGGTGATTTTCTTTAAGCTGTGTAGCTCCATATAAGCTGCTGGGGTACAGAACCCAGAGATACGGATCTTGGTTCAGAACTGGGGAGAGTAACATTAAGGTAAGTTCAGGTGGTGAGAGCTACAGCAGCATAGCCTGTGTGCTTTATGCTTCACACTGCAGTTCTACACGGCTCATCACAACACAGTGGTGAAACCTTCAAGGTGCCTCTTAACCAGCTTTGGCTTTCATTTTTAAATTGTCCTTTATGGATAGAGGAAGCTGCTAAAGAGGAGCTGATTTGTGTAAGGTGCTTTCAGAATGTCCCAGAGCCAGCATTGGCAATAACCTGCATTTTCGTTGCTGAAATAAAGGCAGCAAGATTGGGCAGAGCACGTGGGAGATTCCAGGCTAGTTAGTGACTGAATGGTGCAAGAGTCACTGTATTAAAGCAGGGTTTTTACTTGTCCACTGTGCTACCAAATGTTTGAACTTGACAACAAAAGGTGGTAAAATGGGCACAATGCATCCAGTTTTAAGTATAGCCAAAAGCAACATGCCATGCAGATACCATCCAGCATTGATATTTAATAGGTGGCCATAAATATAGCAGTCTATAGACCTAAATATAGCCCAAAGCATCATCCCAATTAGAAATAATGGATATAAAAGTTCTCTAAAGCCTAACTGCAGGCATTCATTCTGGAATCAATAGAGAACCCATAGGCTTGTTGTGTAATCAATGTTAAAATGACTAAACCATCTACTTCACTTTGCCACTTTGCTCTTTGACAAATGTATTTAGAACTACAATATTCCCATCTAAAGCTGCTGTGCAGTTTCCAAGAAACCACTTTAACTTCCCAGCAGTAACTACCAGTGGTACATTCTCATGAGAGACACACTTTCAGCCTGTAGATGCAGCCCACTTCCACATGTATTTTGAGTGTAAGTGCAAATTCATGAGATATATTCATATATATACATGAATATATTATATCTAAATATGCTTGAAAAGCAGCCAGATTCCTTACAGGAACGTTTTAGTGGCTGTGACTTTACCTACTGAAAGAGCAGCGATTACTCATAAAGCTGCAGCCTTTCTAATTAGGGAAGGGTGTCAGGGATATAAACCAGACTATCAATCTATCCTCTATCAATCACACTGAAAGCTCAAACATAACTTTCTTTCTCTTTAGAAAAGACGCAGCCTTTGCACTGGAGGTGCTGCCACCAGGACGGTCCCGCTGCCATCAGGGACACGCGCTGCTCGGGGCCTGCTTTCCTCTCGGTGTTCTCCTCCCTTTCTTTCATACTGTTTTTGTTCAAGATGTTGCTGTTGTGGCCCATGTAAACCTGCTCCACAGAACTCACCAATGGTAAAGTAGAACCGTGTTACAGTCACACCACTCGGGGGTTTTCGGTTGAGAAGATTCCAAGCAATGCTTGTCTCAAGTTGCTATTGTCTTCATGACAAACCTTCGGCTTCAGCTGTTTGCTTTCCTGCATCAATTTGGTTTTTCATGTGTGAAGCTTTCAAAAGAGTGGTCTGTGCTTGTCCTAACACGTTTCTGGTGGAACTGTTGTTTTATTCACGTGTGGAAACTGTTAAATATCTTTTATTTAAAACAAAGGAGTTGATAATTCCCTGTACAATTATAATTCAATGATCTTTTGTATTTTATTTTTCAAAATAAATGCTTTAAATGTGATTTTGTTTGCCTCAGAATACAGAATATTGGTGCATTACTCAGATGCAAGATACGCTCGAAGGGCCTGGGTTTGGATTTAAGGTTTGCGGTTGAATGTGGATGTTTGCTTTTAGTGGATGGGAGATGAGGAAAAAGTAAATTAGAGTATCCAATGGAGAAGTGTAATGTGAGACCTGGTTATTACAGGAAAAATCAGGTCAGTTTTAGCTTCCCGAGTTTGTTCCTCAAAGGCAAATCAGTTCAGACAGGTGGTGCTGGTGTGAAGCAGCTGCTGCAACCCTGCTGTGGCACGTGTACCCTAAAGGGATGACTGACAGATGCTCAGTGTGGAACAGGATTAAGCAAAGTAAGGTTTTGGGAAGGGTTTTTGAGTCTCAGTTTCTGCTCACCTCAGTGGCTCTTGGCATCGTGAAGGTGGCCTTGTCCTCCTGCACGCATTGGTAAGAGTTCTCTCCACCGTGCTTGCGTTTCCACACATTTTGCCTGTTACAAATTCGAGCAGGTTTTGGTTTTCTCTCGTTTGTTGCCACAGCTGCCGTTTGAGCTCGTTAACCTCTGCTTTAACACCAGCACTGCCTGAGAGAGACCTGTAAGTGCGTGCCTAGAGGGGGTAAATTCGTTTTACGCTCGGTACAGAGTCACCTCATCTCCACCACCCACAGATGATGCTCGCAAAAGCAAACCCGGAGCCTCCCCTGGTGCCGGCAGCGGGAAGCGCTGCCCATCGCTCTCCCCCTCGAAAACGCTCCGCCGCTGCCCCCCGGCGGCCCTAGTGGGATCTGCCAAAGCACCTTAACCCTGGGCCAGGCTCACGCAGAAGCTTCGAGCTCGCGTTGTTGGGGGGAGAGGGGAAATAAGTGCGTTTGTCAGTGCGAAATAACTCACTGGTAGCAGCGACTGTCTTAATTCAGTTTGTCATCAAGCCCCCAGCACGGTGCAGGCTGCACACTCCTCCTGCTTGCTGCATAGTGACTCAAATCACGTATTAACTACAGCAAACCACAGGGAGAGGTCTGCGTGTTCCCCAGGCCACATTTACTCACCATACACTTACCTCCGTGGCGTCACGCAGCCTGCAGCCACAGCATCGCACCAGAAGGAGCCTGAACTGCTGCAGGAGTGTGGAAAGTAGAAACATGAACACCAGCTTTTACTATGCATATTAATAAATATTCTTTATTTAAATTTTGCACATTGCGCTTTAACATATTACATCCAAAACATCTTGCAAATGGATGTCTACTTTGTAAAATCTTATATTCAGCTCATTGTCATTCTGTACAGAATTATAGGTACAACATTACTTTGCCACTAGTTTGCTTCTTGTAAGTCTCACAGTAAGAGAAACATTGACTGAAAAGAGATGGCTTTAAATTATAAGAGAGGCTTGCACAGCTACTCAACTAAAGAGACAAGCCTGAAGAAAGAACAGAATTAATGAAACCACCTCCACCAGCCTCCCCAAAAAAAACAGAAAAAAAAAAATCACATTAATTTAAGATAAAATTTGCCATAAGTCACAAAATTAAGTTTTTGAAAGAGAAGACGCAGTAGTCATCGAGAGGTTCAGTGAAAGACAGAGCTACTTTATTGGCTTTAGTTCACTCCAGCCGTTGTCAACCAACTGTTACAAATGGGCCCCTTGTGATCGTTTAAGCGGCAGTACTTATTAAATTTCTCCTTCAGATGCTGTCGGTATTGTTCTCTATTGCTGTAAAAAGACTTGTTGTTTGCCATAAAGGACTGGATTTCATCTTGTGAGATGAAGATTTCCTCATCAGAAGTGCATTCAGACTCATCCTGCAAAGGAAAGCAGGCCTTTAAGAACTCGAGCATCACCCTTCCTGTGCAGCTCACCTCTCGCAATTGTACTCAGGGTCTACCCTTGCCCTGATGACACCACAAGCTGTACCTGGCTACTGCAGCCACCTGATTGACACACCATACTCTGCTAGATTGTGGTAAGAGTCATGAAGAACCAGAACATGCTTCAGAGTCTTAGCATATTCCCATTGCAAGAGCATTAAATTAAGCAATGGAGAAAAGGAAGAAGAATGGAGCAAGAAGCAGCTGCCCAAGGAGTGTGTAGTGGGAAAGTAATATTTGAGGCATGAAGGCAGCAAAAAACCACATTTCATTTTATGGAATAACGCAATCCTTGCTAATGAGCAGTTACAATACAAGTTCTGTCACTTGCACTCCAGTGACAGGCAATTTCTCCTCCTCTGCAAAGCGTCTGAGTTACACATACTTTACAGAGAACATGCAAAAGCTAACAAAGCACCAGAATCTTCAGTTACGTTCTCTCTTGTAACAGTTCTTCAGTGAGGTTTCCCTTCTAAACCCCATCCTCAATCCTGAGGGTTTAAAGCAGTATGCTACAGCCTAGAATTCAAAGGAAGCCGTTACTTACAAGGAGTTCCACTAAGCTTTTGGCACCTTTTCCAGTATCAGGAACAAGTGACATGTCTGTAGGTTCTGCAAACTGTGACACGTTTTTCATATGCTCAAACCAAGGCAACTGCTGCCCACTTTTTTCTGAGCTACAGCAGCTTTCAGCATGTGTGTCTTTGGTCTTGTCGCGATGAAACTCTGTGTGCATGAGATTTCCTGAGGTCTCTCTGTTACCTGGATCTGCCATACAGCTTCCAAGCTTCTGAATCTAGAATGGAAAAGAGCCTGTAATGAAGGACCAGCAGCGTTCAACCTGAATCATTCAAGTTTCAGATGGAGGTAGGGAGAAAGAGGAAAGCAGGAAGTTCAAAAAGAGAACATGGACATGTATTTTTACACGTGTGTGCCTAGGGAGGAGGGGGGCATGGCATGTCAATTCCCTGAGTGACACAATGTCTTGAGTGGACATGCTTAGCAACACAGGAGAGATTCCTCCCAACCCAACCTATTGTAGGAAGGATCTTGATTTCAAAACGTGGATGGAAAGGCAGCGGCAGATCCTTGTTATCCCACTTACAGCGTTAGTCACAACTGAAATACTTTTGTAACTACTATAAAACACATGCATTTAAATAAGCACTCTGGAACAGCTGTGCTCCTTACGTGTTCATTCTCACACTTCAAGGTTTTACTTTTCTTTTTCTTCTTTTTGTTTTTGCCTTTTGTGTTACTCTCTTCTGAATTAGCCCAACATTCCACACAGCTATCTCCATCCTCCTCTTTGTCTTCACAGCGATGGACACACGGATCATCTCCTGCAAAAGACAAGGCCATTTGCACTTCAGATACTTAAGTTCAGTGGATACCAAACCGATGTTGTACTCATACCAAACCTACCGTTCTCGTCGTGGTTGCAAATGCCTTCAGTGCAGGCCACATCTGACCCCTCTCGAGATCCTGTTTCGCTGCCCTCCATGCTAGATGAATAGCCGCAATCACTGCCATTACAATGTGGAGATAAACCTGAGATGAAGTGAAAGGTCACAGTGATGTAGAGGAGCTGTTGCATACTCTTTAGTTATGCCTCTAAGATGAAAGAAATCTTTAAAAGAAGTGATTTCTAAAAACAGCTGAGTGCTGTTCAGCCCAGACATGGTCACTGTTTGTACAATGCAAAGCAATGACCTTCAACATACCTTTCTTGATTTTAGGTGAACCTAATAGGGTACCACTACTAGGACAGGTGCAAGAAGTGCTTTCATTAGTAACAATTACTTCTACACAATTGTTAGCTTCTTCAGTGCTACCACAGGCTTTGCAACTGCTTTCCGTGAAGTTTGAATTCTCCTTGAAACAAAACCAAAAGTTACTTGCAAGTACTGAAAGGAGCTCAGCCAACATCTCCATAGAGGATACTCGTACACAAGAGAAAACAACTGACACTGACTGGCAACAGCCACAGCGTTGCTTGTAGTTCTTCACAAGTATAAACAACTAAAACCACCCCCTCTACCAACCACTTTCCCCACAATAACATGAATAAGTTCAGTCAGGAGATCCAGGATAATGATTGCATTTATGCAGTGTAAAATTACTCAAAGCCCCCCCCCCATCCAATTCGATGCAGACTGCCTGCAACCACAAATTCCCATGCTCTAAGTGATCTTTAAGAAATGAGAGTTGAAAACAATAGTCTCAGGATAACCTGAACCCCTGGAGATTCAGGATTTAAAAACAACCCAAAGCTAAGGAGTTCCAGGCAACTACTTTACAAAAAGGCTGTACTAATCCGGAAAAGTATTCAGTTCCTCAGTGAGCAGATACAGTAAAACCCCTCAGGAATTCTAACCCAAACCAGTGAGCTGATGAATGAAGCTCTGAATTACAAATGCAGTTATGTAGCTGTGAGTGTTTACCTTTGTTTGATTTACCTCCTTCTCCTCTGGTGCCTGCGAAGGAGCAGGGATCTCACACACACACTTGTTTTTCCGCCGGTTCTTCCGTTTTTGGCGCTTCTTCTCTTGCTTCAGCTCTCGCACCCTTTCTTCTTCTGAAAACTCTTCACAGAGCTGCTCCAATCGACTAATACCCTGCACTTTTTCCACGGCCATCTGTTTGTAAGAGGTTAGATCTATTTATAGATGTTAACACAATTCAAGCTTTTACATGATAAACAAGGAAAACAGCTGGTAAGTACTTACAAAGTCACCGCAACACAACTACTGACCCTTACAGAAAAATGCCTACCCAGACCTAGGCACTCCCTTTAGAGTGCTGCAGGAGATCCATGTATGTGGGGAGCGCTGTGTCTAACTTACGGCCCAGATTTGCAATTTTCAGGGAGAAGTTGTGGATTTGAATGCATTTTTGGATCTCTTTCCCACGCTTACTGTTCACGCTGATTATTTAACACAAAAAGCCACATTAGAACTACTGCTACAGAATTCCTGCAGCTCTTTGTCTAGGATAACCAGTGAAAAATGTAGCTGATTTTTCTAAGCAGCCTAAATGTATCTCAAGATGCAGCAGTATCTAAATATGTTCTTTAACATTAAGTTCAGAGCAAGTATCATAATGGCACATCCGCATACAGTTACAAGGATACA